AACCTGGACCTTGGCTTTTGCCTTTTTCTTAAGACTTTGTAACAAACCTCCTGCTTGTGTGGGTGACAGCCTCTGCCTGCTGGGGTCCCCCAGATGTTCTCCCTGAGTCTCCAAGCCTCACTGTCAGTACCTCTGGAATTAGCTTGATCATCCTTAAGCCTGTTCAGAAAGGGTAGAGCCAGAAGTTCTCTTCCTACTTGAAAATTCCAAGGCTTAATACTTACCCAGTCTATTCTAAATTCAGCCACCACCACTCTTTTAATATTAGAACATCTTACTGGACCACTTTCAGTGTTATTGCCATTGAGTTATCCATTGCACCCACTGTGGCTCCCTGACCCCTTCCCCATATGTATCTCTATTTAGATTCACGACTGGATGCCTCTAACCCTGACACCTGCCTGGAAATCCTTTAGATGGACAGAATTCCTCACCAAAGAGGACAACATGAAGCTGCTTAGAATGTAGGGCTTGAGTAAACAGCTCTTCTCCTGAGTCTCTTCCTGATATCTTAGGCTTTGCTGTATCTCCTGGATTCTACTTTTGGACCTGCCTAAGCAGCTGTGGCCCAAGGATGGTCTTTGGCTGACCCAGCAAAAGAGGGGGCTGCTGGGCTTCTGCTCCCAGGGGCTAGTTCAAAGCTGCAGCCTGCAGTTCCCCTGTGGTTAGCTGGCCTCCACCCCGGCTCTCTCCCAATCTATGAGTAATTCTATCTGTCAATCTGCAGCTTCTGCTTCCCTATCAGATAAGATACCACTGGGGACACACCTATAACTGGTCCTTTAATCCATAGCCAGAGGCCAGCTCTGAGGTCTCCTATGCTTTCCTGGCTCAAAAAAGCCCACATTTGAGCAGCTCAGACCTCTTTGAGTCTACTAGAGCCCCAAAGGCATGACTTTGTTTTTTTGGCAGCACATAAAATTTCCATGTCTACTAGCTCGTTCTTAAAGCTAATCTATGGCTCAAGCGGCTAAGGCTCCAGCCACATACACCTAAGGTGGTGGGTTCGAATCCAGCCCGGGCCTGCCAAACAACAATGATGGCTGCAACCAAAAAATAGCCAGGTGTTGTGGTGGGTGCCTGTGGTCCCAGCTACCTGGGAGGTGGAGGTAGAAGACTCGCTGGAGCACAGGAGTTAGAGGTTGTGAGCTGTGATGCCACAGCACTCCACCCAGGGGGACAGCTTGAGACTCTGTCTCAAAAAGAAAAAAAAGCTAATCTAAATTCCTCCTATGGGTTGTAAGCAAACTTTCTCTTGCTGTTTTGAACATGGAAATTGAGATCATCTTTAAGGGAACTCCCTCCCTCATTTCTGCATAATCTATAAGAGAAATGCCATGTGATGAGAGCTCTGTGAACTTTCTAACTAGGTTTTTTTCTGTGAGCTGGTGATTTGAAGTGGCCCTAGCAATTTTTTTAGCCACACTCTACCTCCAAAGCCGGAGTGGCCAGTATCTTCCCAGTATACCGGCACCATGGTATTGCAGGTAGGGGAAACCCCTAACTAAGGTTTCCCTAAGTTCTATCTTCTTTCCAACCTGTAGGATCTGAGAAAATGTAGGTGACGGTTCACAGCCAATGGAGGGTATAAAGGCATCGGGTACCCCATGACAATAAAGACACCTCTCAAGAGGAAAACGCTATAGGCTGGGGCAGGGTGTTGGCTCTCTTTCAGACAGCAATGATCATCAATAACAACTGTTAACATTTATTGTGCATTTACTGTATGCCTGATACTGTCATAAGTCATTTATTCTTCATAGCAACTTCAGAGGTAAATACTATTGTTACTCCCATTTTATAGATGAGTAAACAAAACATTCAGAGACCTAGAAAATCATCCCAGATCTCATAGATAATAAGTGCTGGAGTAGGAACTGAACTCTCATCAATCTGGCCCCAAAGTCAGCCTTCTTCTCTATAAATCAAAAAGTCTGGGTGCAATCCCCATTGCACACTGAGTGTGAATATTCAGTGGCTGTTTAGTCACAGTGGTGACCTATGAAGAGTGCTTCTGCCATTTCGAACGCTGTGTGTCAGAACCCAAAATGCACTGTACCCCTGTGCCTGCAAGGGTCCCCAACTAGGATGCAGGCATGAGTTTGGTGTCACGGGACTCCAGTGGCTCCAGTCTGGAAGAGACACATCCTGTGTTGAGGACAGATGGGCAAGTGGCAGCCACCAAGCCTGGGGAAAAGTTAGGGAGGGGCCCGAGTGGCAGCATGTTCTTCCAGGACCTCAGTTCCTGAGCACACATGGCTCCCCTTTCCTCTCCCCTCCATCTTACTTGCTGACCAAGTGTCAAGAAAAATGACTTGGTAAGATTTGTTACACGTTTAAGCTTACCCTGCCCGAAAACAGAAGAAAAAGCCTATTATATAACCACAGAGAAACCATTTCACCTCTCAGGACTAAATTACCTTGAAAAAGGTGTTGTCATAACTAGGCTGTCTATACCTCAGGTTGTTGCAAACGATCAAGAGAGAAAACAAATATGAAAGCACCTTGACACGTGTAAGATGACACAGGAATTAAATACAATAATGTTAATGGTTATAAAATACCAATATCTTATTTTGTCCTGACTTCATACCAGTTTTTTTTACTTCATCCTGCTTAAAGATGGGGTGAGTGTACTACCAGAATGTTCGTTAGCACACTTTTTCTGTAAAGGGCCAATCAGTAGATATTTTCAGTTTTGTGAACTGCATGGCCTCTGTTCAACTCTTTGGTTTTACCCTTGAAGAGGGAGAGCAGTCATAGACAAAGTGTAAATGAATGACCCCGGCTACATTCCAATAAAACTTTATTTATAAAAACAAGTACCTGGACAGATTCTCCTGCAGTTTTTTGACCTCTGTTTAGTAGTAGCCAATTAGAACCATTTGTGAATGATAACATCACTCCAATACCTGTCTCCTTGGCTAACACCTGCTGTACAGGTTGGTTCATTGCCTCTCTCTGGGTCTAGGTGGGTAAACTCTAGCTCCAACCCTAGTGAACAATTTCTCACATTTATCACACCCTACTATTCGGACATCACATCACACTGAGGGACTTGGAGTAAGTGTTATATGGTCTCCAAGAATAGCCAATACTGATTCTAACTTAATTGTAAAATCTAGTGGGGAAAGGGATAATGCCTACCTCTTTGGCTACCTGGGTTATATCATGCTTTGCCATTTTATATTGATAGTTAACTTATATAGGTTGCCATATGTGGGGAGGCATGGTTTGAGTGCTTTGGATAACTGAATTTGTAGACTGCACTTATCTTGTAAAATTTTTCATGCTTCCTAGAGTCAAGACAAAGGCTCGTAAGTTCAGATTCTTCAATTTCCTAGGTAAATGCTACAGGAAGATTTCTTGATTTAGCAACTCTCATTTCCAAGAACCCTTTAAAAAGCATTCTTTATGATTTCAATAAAAGTTGCTTTATACCATGATGTCACCCATCTGTGCTTCTATATTGTAAAAGAATCTTAAAATTATTTAGGGCATGCTTCGTTATGTTATAAAATTGTCAGTGCCAAGAGGAACTTCTTTGGGTTTTTTTTATTGCAAAACACTCCCTTTACATAGAAGGCTGAACGACTTATCTGAACCAACAGTAGATTTAGAAGCAGTTTCAAAAGTTGTACAAAAATGTGTTAGACAGCCAGGTTGTGATGGAGGCTGGAATTTTGTAGTCACAGTTTTCCATGTGCCATTTTAAGAATTATCTTGGCTTTAAGTACAAGTTAAAATTTTATATTTGAGAGTAGACTCCTGAAGTAAAAATAAGGTATTTCTTATTAGGCTGGTCTCCAGTGGTATTATGGAAAGTGTAACTTAAAGCATAACAACCCCCAAACACTGGGTAACTTAAAAGTTATTCTCATTACTTACTAGTAATGATAGTGTATAATTATTTATCCATGAGTTTTTAAATATTATACTCTAATGGACGTGACTTTTTACTCATTTTAAAATGCAAATGAAAAAATGCTGACCAAACCCCCTCCTCCTCTATTTTTTTTAAAGGATTCCAAACTATATAGTTCCAAGGAGGAAAACAGATAAGTGATTATTTGGCAGTTGGATGAGCTTATTAATTCTTTTGCCATTAGAAAAGCAATGGGGTTTCATTTGTATAATGTTAAATTTTCTTGCTCAACTTCTTAGTTATTATAAAGCATCCAAAATATATTGAATTTTCCAGGTTCCTAAAAGCCAAATCTTAAAAAGAAAAAAAGAAGAGGTTATCTCATAAATTCCAGGCACTTGTGGAAATGTAGAATGACATTTAGTTCAACATACACCTGCTGTTTTTCTAGGAAACCTATTAAGATCTTTCTAGTTTGCATAGATTTTAACATACTCTGTTTTAATGGCCGTGGGGGTAGGGAGGGACGAGAAATCATGATGTGAATGAGCAAAATTGAACAAACTAAGAATATGCTGAGTTTCTGGAGGGAAATTCTATATGTCTAATTAACTTCTGATGAAAGATGAGTAAGGAGAAGGAATATTCATTAAACATTCTGAGATCACGTGATCACCAACAAAGTCAACACAAATGTTTTAAAATGTGTTTAAAGATTACATTTCTCTTTTCTCTTTATTCAAACCACGTACATTTTACACATAAGTGATAAAGTAATCAGGCACACTCAAGAAATGGTGAAATTAAGCAATGGCTCTTTTTCCTTGAATATGAGATAGTACAACTTTAAAAATTACTCAAGGCCAATAAGCCCATGAAAGGATGCTCAAAGTCCCTAATCGTTTGGGAAATCTAATTCAAAACTATAATGAGCTGCCACTTCATGCTCATTTGGATGGATATTATTTTAAAAAAGACAAAAATAATAGAAAATAATAAGGGTTCATGAAGATGTGGACAATTCAGAACCTGTGCACTGTTGGTGGAAATGTAAGATGGTACAGTTGCTATGGAAAATGATATAGTAGCTCCTCAGAGAATTAAACTTAGAATTTCTGTAAAATCCAGCAATTCAGTCACTCGGAAGCGGGGAAACAAGGCAAGATGGTTTACATCTCGAATGGACAAGTATTGGACAGCCGGAGTCAGTCTCCATGGAGATTATCTTTGATAACAGATTTCTTTTGGGGAATAGCTGAGTTTGTGGTTTTGTTTTTCAAAACTCTGCTTCAGCAAGATGTGAAGAAAAGAAGAGGCTATGGGAACTCATCTGATTCCAGATATGATGATGGAAGAGGGCCACCAGGAAATCCTCCCCGAAGAATGGGTCGAATCAATCATCTCCAAGGCCCCAGTCCTCCTCCTATGGCTGGTGGATGAGGAAGGTAAATGTCTGCTCTAAGAAGCAGACAAATGGACAAGCACATTCATAGCGGAAGGAAACCATCAAGAAGTGAAGGGCTGACCACAGTGGACAAGTAGATGAATGTGTGCGTCTAAACAAGGATTGCTCTGTGTCTTCACAGATGAATGAGGTCAGGCTGGGAATTCTCTCTTCAGGGAACTGGCCTGACTGACATGCAGTTCTATAAACGCACTTTTTGTCTCATCTTTTTTGTATAGTTTATTAAAGTATTAATAGTTTTAATAAGTAAATATTTTTAGGTTGCAAAACTGATTCTTCATCTTTATATATTTGAATCACAAACTCTGAATCTGAAGAAATAAAAAGGTGTGTATTCAGTACTATTAGTGTCACCTTTTCAATTTCTGAAATACTGTTCATTGTCACTTTGTTCTTTATAAATAAATCACATTGTATTTAAAAAAAAAAAATCCAGCAATTCTATTTCTCAGTATATATCCAAAAGAAATAAAAGCAAGGACTCAAACAGATATTTGTACACCCAAGTTCACAATAGTATTATTAACAATATCCAAAAAGTGGAGATAAGTGTCCATGGACACATCAATGTATAAACCACATCCTTGTGATACAATGATTTTCTTTCTTCTGGGTAGATACCTAGCAATGGGATTGTGGGACCAAAGGGACATTTTATCACAAGGACATTTGCATTAGAATGTTTATTGCAGCTCCATTCACAATTGCCAAGACAGGGAAGCAACCCAAGTAAGTGCCCATCAACCCACGAATGGATTAATAAGCTGTGGTATATGTACACCATGGAATACTATTGAGCCATAAGAAAGGATGGAGACTTTATACCTTTTATATTTACCTAGATAGAGTCAGAGAACATTCTACTTAGTAAAGTATCACAAGAATGGAAAAGCAAGTATACAGTGTACTCAATACTAATGTGAAATCAATAGATAAACAACTACATACCACACAAGAGAAAAACACAAGTATATTTAAATGGGGGAAGGGGAGGCAGAAGAGGGGAAGGTGCAGGAAGCAGGGGGTTGGTGAACACTCACCTAATGTGCACAATGTAAGGGTCTGCAGCAGGCCACTTGGATGAGGGGTTCAACTACAACTTGAACTTTACCTTAGAAATGCAAACAATGTAATCTAATCATTTGTACCCTCATGTTAATATGAAATAAAAAAAGAATGTCCTGTCAGATTTCTTTACTCTCAAATACTTTACTAAGTAGAATTGTGAACGAATAAATTTCTGCTGTTGTAAGCCCCCTCCCACAAAATGTATAAGCAAAATGTGGTCTATGGATACAACGGATTATTCTTTAGCCTTAAAAATGATTCTGACATGTGCTACAATAGAGATGAACATCATGTTAAGCAAAATAAGCCAGTCACCAAAGGACAAATATTGCATGATTCCATGTAAGTAAAGTCCCTAGAGTCACCAGATTCATGAAGATAGAAGCAGGATGGTGGTTGCTAGAGGCTGGAAGAGGGGAATGGGAGTTAGTGTTTAAAGGGTACCAAATTTCAGAGGAAGAAGAAAAAGTTCTTCAGATACATGGTGGTGATGGTCACACGGCAAGGTGAATGTACTTAATGCCAGAGAACTGTCCATTTAAAAACGGCTAAACTGGTACATTTTATAGCAATAAAAATTATTTGAGTTCATATTTTTCAGTTGTTGGTACTCAAGCTCCACCCTCCCTCTCTTGGACTTTCTGCAGGCTGGGCAATTCTGAGATGCTAGCTCTGCTTTCACAAGGGTAGAGTTGAGAAGATGGTCAGAATTAACTCTGCTACTGGCGGGGAGTGGGGGGTGGAGGGTGGGGGAGTATGGTTCTCCCTCTGGTCTAACCACAGCAGCCTAGAAACCCAACACGTTCCCTGTGTTGTCACACAGCCACACAGAGATGATACAAAGCTTGTGTGAGGGATCTTAATATCTCTCTCCTTTCTGTCCCTCTGTCTCCCTCCACTCCCATTTTAACAAACACAAATGCAAACTACCATCTAGTGGTTACTGGCAAGGACAGAGATCAAACAGATCTCTGAAAAATACCTTTTCAGAACTCATCTCCTGGCTCCTTATTCCTGTGGCCCTGGCCTGGCATTTTTCTAGGAGAGCCTTTTTTCTTGGAACGTGTAATAAATCCTCCTCCTCAAAATGAGGGAAGATTTCCTTCCATTGATTCAAAATCCTCACTAGCAAATCCTTTGGCCTTTCCAAAATTTGCCCAGAATTATATTCTAGAATCTCCTGAACAAGAGTTCGAGTGTTCCATATCATCTAAATGAGTAAATAAAGATCCACTGAGCACTCCGCACTTGTTTTTATGAGAGAGAAGAAGCTCACACCAGTCCCGGAATACTCTTCAGAGCAGATGAAAGGAAGAATTTATGGCATGACGCGTGAGAATAGTCTATAACTCTCATTTCTCTGTAGCTTATGTTCCCAAACAAGGCAATGTAGATATTTATGTAAAGAGACAGAGCAGCATCTATTTTAAAGAGAGGTTTGGTGTCCCCTTCCCCCTTTTTAGACATTTCTAATTTACAAAACCAGATGAGGCCCTTAAGTTTTCTTTTTTTTTTTTTTGAGATATCTTACATCTCCAATTTAAGGTAGGATTATTCAGATGACTGTATTTTTTTCCTTCCTTAAAAAAGCCATGAAAAAAAATTTATCTGCTTATAGCCAGACAGGAAAACAGAGACATTTAAATTCATTTCCTATTATATTTTCATGTTGTTTCAAAGCCCTTAGCTCCTTTTACTTCTTTCTGCTTCTTGGACATCCCTTTTATGACCTCGGGAGACCCCTAATTCTAAAGGAAAACCTGCTTTCTGGAAAGGAACATCAGGCAATATTTATAACTTACAGTATTTTCCTAGGTTAAAACAAGAAGTTTATTTGACACCAAAACATTTCTGAAAGCAGAAACCATACCACAAATAATAATCACTTAGATTTTGGGGGTATTCCTCAGATGATTTTTTAAAATTATGAAATATAACAAACATAAAAAGGATATATGTAAAAATGTAAAGACAAAAACAACAGAACAGACATACATGTACCCACTACTAAGCTCTAGAAATAATGTACTACCTTCTGAAACCTTTGGAATCCTCTAAATGCTGCCAATTGGTTACATGCTCCTTGGACTGTGAGGTCACAACTTCCCTAGACATAGTCTTAATGATTCTCTATTTTTCTTCATAATTTTGCTAATGTGTATATATATCTAAATATATATTGCTTGGTTTGGATTTTTAAAAAAAGTTTGATAACAATATCAGAAAATGATAAGTGTATTTATTCCTCTGTGACTTGCTTTTAGGCTTAGCGTTAAGTTTATTGAGATGCATCTGAGATCCTGCAGTTCATTCATTTTTACTTGGTATGGTAGTCCATGGTGTGACAACACTGCAATGAATGAACACATTGCATTCTAGGGTTGATGAACATTTGGTTTGTTTGCAGTGGGAGGAAAGGATCCATCTTCATTTTTTTTCCCCGCATGGATAATCAACTGATCAGTCATCCCACACCATTATCCTCCCTTTCCCATAGATCTGAAATGCCAGCTTTGTCATTTACTAGTTTCCATTTTTGTGTGAGTCTTTTCTGGGTCTCCTAATGAGATTTGTTTTTCAGTTTGCCTATTCCTTAATGCTTTGCTGTCTTAATGATTGAGCTAAATAATAATAAAAATAGCTAATACAGGCTGACATTTATGTTATGCCAGCCACTGTTCCAAGCACATTTCACATGTTAACTCATTTATTCCTCATCATTACCTTGGGTAGTGGGTATTGTTATTTTATAGATGGAAAGTGAACTTGAGAATGGATTGTAGGTGCCTAGACAAGGTAAGAAACACAGACAATCTATACATAAAGAGATCATGCTGTTAGACATTATGCAGACATAACTCTTATCATAAGTCATGATTTTTGGCTGAACAATGGGTCTTATTTAGGAATACTTTGAGTATTTTTAGTCCTTTTCTCATACATACAAATTTTATAAATGTCTTATAAAGCTTCATGCAAGACAAAACCTATTAAAATTGTCATTGATATTTCATTAAATTCTTCAAATAAACTCATGCTATTGAGTTTTCCGGTTCATTAACATGATATTAAATAATGTGTTTTTATTGTATTTTATAACATGCTACAGAATGCACATCTTTTGTTAAATATATTTCCAGTTATCTTATATTGTTTCTGCTACTATAAAAGGCATTCCTTGAAAGTTGCTTTTTCTGTTTGTTGGTATATGAAGAAATGTAATAGGACTTATAACAGTTCTTGACATGTTTCTGGCAAAGGGATCAGATTTACTCTTCCCCTTTAAACAAATAGGGAAACAGAAAAAAACATCAAACAGTGATTTTCAGATATTACATAACATAGGAGAGGGATTGCTGAAAAAATAAAAGCAAATGTGGTAAGCACAGTGATTGTCCCAGGTTACTGCCTAAACAGAGGCATGTTCAGGGTGCAGGGAGGTGACACCCAAACAGAACTCAGCAGTTTTTTTGAATTGAGGAGAAAGAATTCCCACCTCAGGAAGGCAAAGGTATAATTTTCAGGGCAAAATATTACGGGAGGTGCTCCACAGAGATAGGAAGATATATGGAGGATTTTCTTGGATAACAGAATTAAATAAGAAATCAATAGCAGAAACATATTTGAAACATACCTAAATATTGAAAGTTAAACAATAAGCATCTGAATAACCCATATAAAATATCTTGAGCTGAAAGAAAATGGCATATAAAAATGAACTGGCAAATAAAAAAGCACTGTATGATGTTACATAGGCTCATATTACGTGCTTATGCCAGAATATAAGAAATATCGCAAATCAATGATCCAAGCATCCACCCTGAAAAAACTAAATCTAAAGTAAGCATAAGGAGAAAAGTAAATAAGAGCAAAAATCAATGAGATAGATGACAGAAAGCAATGGAGGAAAATCAATACAACCAAAGCTAGTTCTATAAAAGGATCAATAAAATGTATAAGACTCAAACCAGCCTAATTGAGAAGAATTAGACAGATTACCAATATCAGGAATGAAAAAGAGGACATTACCACAGAAAGAAACCATTATGCATAGCTTTATATTAATAAATTCAGCAACAATGATGAAATCTACAAATCGTTTTCAAGTTATAAACTACCAGAGCTCACTGAAGAAGATAAAAGTAATATTCTTACTTGTTCGTATCTAGAAAAGAAATTGAACTGGTCACTAAAACCTTGCCAAGATGAAAACTCCAGGCTGAGATAGCTTCTTTGGTGAATTTTACTGAACATTTAAGAAAAATATAACC